TTTTAGTTTCTTTGTTGCATTGGTGCAATGGAATTTGTTTACTTTACTTCAACCTTTTAACACTGTACAATCCTAAACCAAAGTAGAGAAAAAGTACAGCACCCCTAAACCCTGCCAGAAATTGAAAGTTGACTCAACTTTGAATTGACGTCTATGTTGATGGTACATTTGGACCATATATTGGTCAATCAACGTTTATTCAACATTTACGTTGATAAACATCTGTGCATTTCTGGCTGGGACAGGTTGTGTTACAGGATGTACATACATATAATACTGTAGTGCCCATAAGGCTCTATGTTAAAACTCCTGTAATCCGTGCTCAAAACACCGTTACTTAGCAAGTACAGGACAACCGTTAAACGGGTCAACTTTCTGTAATATTATTTTATCACACAGTACAAGAATACTGTGCTTAGCGAACAAGCAAGCACTAGTTAACACAAACTAAATTTTACCAGCTCAAAAACACTCCCAAGAATTTTGAACCAAACAAATCAAAATTGTTAATAAGACCAAAATCAAATCCCTTTGAACATATGACGTACTGACCTTCCTGCAAGTTGGGCACTTCTTTCCCAAGGCAGGATTTTCAACACATTCCTTGCAAATTGTGTGTCCACAGGGCAAGTTTTTGGGACGGTGGGCGTTCAGGTCAAAATTGAAGAAGCAAATGTCACACTTCAGATCCATCTGCAACACAAAATAAAACAAGTACCTCTTGAAATTATGGTAAGACTACTTAAAATATATCACCAAACACCATGTGAGGCTGCTGGCAGAATCGTTTTAACTTACTATTCGACAGTTTTTAAAACGTTATACGTCAGCAACACACTTTTAAGTTGCATAAGTAATAAATTTCCGACCCGCAGTAAGGTTATGTTTGACTGCAGTGTATCTCCCGCGTTGCTTTCTTCTCTATCTTTTCCTCTGGACGGGGAGAGAGAGAGATAGTCTTCCCAGCGAAAGAATAGTGAAGTGCGGAAGGCGGATTCCGTG